CTGACATAATAAAAAAAACAGATTCTATAATCTGTTCACGTGCACATTCCCCTTTGATGTCACTTCCTGTTGCTGTACATGCAAATATCGCAACAACTGTTCATTTCAGTTGTTTTTGCAATTTGTGATTGCCATTTTTCCAAAACTGCATGCATATTTATTTTAAACATTCGATGCCACAGGCACTTTAAAGAAAAGGCAGCAAAAGATGAATTGATGGAGAACTCTGGTTTTGACTATGCAAAATGCAGGATGTAGAATAAATGTGTCACATGTAATTGTTGTGTATTTATTGTTACTTAAAAACTGCACACATCTGATCTGCAGTGAGCTGATGTCACACTAAACTTTAGCTTCTGCACACTTTACAACTATCTGCTGCCATCTAGTGGTTTTGATTTAGTTTAGCATTTAGTCCAAATCGGTCTTATTTAGTGTGATTTTTTAATGCATGTTTCTGACCTGGTCCTAATTCAGTTCTTCTGACCCRCTCAGCTGTTCACTGCAACCTGAGCCAGAATGGCCTCGACCACCAGATGTGTCCGGACGACATGATGTCTCAGCTGGAGCGGGAGGAGTCGGTGGACTCTGAGTCCGCTCAGCTGGACGACGACAGCCCGAGCTACCAGGAGCTGGCCCGGCCCGTGTACCACCGCCGCTCCCCGCCGCACCGCTCAGTCTCTGAGTCCGAGCTGACCCGGGTAAGAGCTGGTCCAGAACCGCTCCGCACACTTCACAAGTGTTTGGTTTGAATCTCATTGTTTAAATTAAAAAGTATCTGGAAGTAAATCTGTAATAAGAGACACCAAGTGATAAAACAAACTCATAAACGGGTAAAACTCATATTCATTTATTATTGAACTAAAATAAAATGCATTTAAAGTGAAGGGAAAGTTAATTCCCTCAGTGTTTCTGATAATAGATCAAAAGGCTCCTCAGTGGCAGCGCAGTCGTTCTTTACTTCCTCTCCAGAAATAGACTGCAGTTCAGAGGGAGGGAGGGCGGTGAAATTACTTGTGATGCTCAGAGCCATTATCGCTTTTGTGTGTGAAATCACTCCAAACAAGTGGAAGTGTGTATTCCTTTGGTCTGAACTACTTTAGAAACAGAGCAGTTTCTGTATGAAATGGTTTGATTTAAAGCAACACATCATGCAAAATCCAAGTTTTTAGCTGTTAAATACATTTTTCTTGTGAAAAGTTGAATTTAGTCTCTCCCAGTGCTGTTACAATAAGGAGGTTTTCAGGCCAAAGCGTTGTATTTCCATTTTATATAGACTGAACTGAGTGATTTGAATGTGAAAAAGGATTCAAAAGCATCAAATGCCCACTTTAACTGACTGAGCTTTCAGTTTCAGTCTTTCTGCTTAACATCTTTTGGTAAAAATCTAGCAGATCGAGTGCTTTAACACTTAAATTATGAATAACAGTAAGCCGCTCCATTAAGAAACGCAGCCGTATCTCTGTGTGCTCATTAATGTTTGCAGAAGGTCCACTGAAGCGATGCTAAGTTTGATTGAATCACATTGAATATTTGAAGCTTCAATAACCTTTTGATTAGTGGAGAATATTTTAAAGGGCCAATGTTATGTGTTTCTCAGGCATACTTTAAATACTATACCATAATAAAGTATCTATGTCACCTTTAGCTGTTATTAAAATGTTGTTTTTATGTTTAAATAGAAAATAAACCTATCTTCTCATCACTTCCTCTTCTAAACGCCTTGAAATTGGCCTCTGTCTCTTTAAGAACCTCCTTCCGCTTCTGTCCCGCCCATTTCGGTGCTATGATGCAGTTTACTTGGCATCTGAAAATACATTTCCTCAAAGGTATTTTTAATCTGATAAGAGCTTCACTGAGTGAGAACTAATGTTGAGAGCTCAGCAGACAGTTAGGTTTCACTTTCACTTTCACCCGAGAGCCTGCAGGAGTCATGGGCGGTGTGTGTGTTCGGCTTAAAGACACGTCCCAGGGGCGTTTCTGGTCCCCACCTGTTGTTTTGCTCCTCAGCATGGCTTCATAAAAATGCTGCAGGATTTCTCAAACATGCATGAATGAGTCAAAGCAAGGCTTTGGGCATGTTTTTT